CGCCACCTCACGCCGCCCCGCCTCGCCGGAGCCGCCGCCCGCCACCATTGACCCGCCGCCGCGAATCGATAAAAAAACCGCCGCCGGTTTTTCTTTCAGTTTAGAGCTAGATCGTTTTTTAGGGTTAGGGTTTTTCTCGGTTTTCTTCGGTTTCTCTATTTAGCGGACGTTCGTCCGAACGCTTCTGTTCATGAACGTGTTCGTTCTTTCGTCTCTGCTAGCGAACGTTCGTTCGTTAGTCTTTTATTTTTATTTTATTTCCGACCAGGGACCTATCCGCGATTATTTTTATCACAGATTAGCCTCTGATCTTCAAACGCCCGCAACTTTTTAACCGTTTGTCCAAATCCAGTGAAACCAACGCCAAAATCTTCGTCTCCAAGCCCTCTTTCCATTTAACCAACTTGAACATGATTTTGATAAATTAAAATTTGGTTTCAAGCAGATTTGATTTCGAATTTCTTTTGATCGTAGTTTGAGTTTCGTAGCTCTGATTTGAATGATTCTTTTTGCAAATTGAAGCTCTTCATTTGAACTTTCAGTTTGGACTTTCTCATCTGAGTTTTACCCGTGCATCTATGCTTGAGTGCTTATTATGCTATTGTTTGTTTGTGATAGAATTTCCGGAGTGCGAAGCATGCTACTACGAGTCTCTAGGGTTTGCAGATCGTCAGCAAGACAAGTAACACTTTGATCATATCCCTTTATTACCCAGTTTTTATGCATTAGATTCAATCCTTAAACATTGCATGAGTAGGATCTGCTTAACATGTGAGTTTTGGGAAGTAGATGATGAGGTAGAACATATTGCCCCTTTTTTATCAAACCCTGGAGTTACTTCTACGTTATGCTTATACCACTATGTTATGCTTGTAGACGTGGTTTGGTTGAGTGTATCCATGACATATATGAGAGCTGTTAAATAATGGTTAACTTAAGGTGGCTACTTTAATACACATCTGGGTGGATTGGTGTAACACCCCAAAATTCTAAATTTTGGAATGTTATAATAAATAGATAGATTGATTGTTTGTTTGATTGTTGTGTGATTGATTGAGTGAAATTCGAAACTTTTTGAAAGTTAAATGAGAGGGAATAAAAGGACTTTCCCAAACTTTCACCTTTTTGCATTTTGATTTCCGTGAATTCAAATTCTTTTCAAATACAAAACCCTCGAGAGAAGATGACATGACTTCTTCCATTTAATTAAATGAAAATGGGTTTTTGAACAGATTTGAATTTTATTTGGAAATATTTCAAATTCAGAAAGTTTAAGCAACTCAATGATTTTCATGAGAGAAGATAAAATGACTTCTCAAAAATATATGAAATACGAGTTGGAAGTTTAAAAGGATCAAATTTAAAGTCCATTCAAGTTATTTTTTCAATTTGGAGTTATTTGGGTTTTATTCAAATTATTTTTCTCCAAAAATAAAATAAATAGAAAATAGGGTAAAATGATTCCCTACATCAGAAAATTGGAGAGAAATAATTTTGAAATAATTTTGATATTTTTAAAATGATTTTTATTGGATTTTAGTAGGGAAGTAGCACTCTTTGAATTGTTCGCATTTGTCTCTATTTTATATGACTTGACAAAAATGTCCACATTGTAGAAAATCGTTTTCTGAAAATTTTGATATATAATATGGCTATATAAAATTGTATTTTATTTACGTTATCCAGTTTTCCTTTTTGTTTCTATATAAAAAAAGAAAAAAAAACTACGCGTGCGCCTGGAACTAACCGCCGCCCACATGCGTAGCATAGCAGCAGGCTGGCCCGTTTTTCTTTTGTTTTCTTTTGTCTTTTTATTTTATTTTATTTTCGTTAAAGTTTAATTTTTTTGAAACAAATTTCAGAAAAAAATAGACTTCGGAAAAAAATGCAGCACGACGCGCGGCAGGCCTTTAGGCCCGCGCGAGGCGTTAGCCTTTTTCATCTCTGTTTCGTATATTTTCGTCTACGTTTAGTCCCACATTGCCTAACCTTTGACCTCGAAACTTTTTTCTACCTATAAATATAGACCCATATAGCCTCCAAAAATCATCCGAATCGGGTTAAATCAATATTTTGGTTTGACTAGATTCATTTAAGAAAAATATTTTTCTCCTCTCCGGCGTGATTTCTGGAAGTTGTCTCCTCTCTCCGAAGTTGTTTTTTCTCTACTTTATAAAGGTATCTTTCTTTGTTTTTTTCCTTTTATACTTTCGTAGCTTATTATTTCTAGACTAATACGATAGAATAACTAGATTATCAATTAGTCTACGTATTTATACATTAGACCCTACTCGTAGCTATTTTTCTTTCGTAAAACAGCTTGGCCCTGATTTTTCAAATAACTTTTCACTCGTTTATCCAAATTAGATGAAACCAGCGTCTATAGCTTCGTCTTGTTTTCACCTATCCAGTGAACCTGTCACATCAACTTTTTGAAATTTTCAATTTTCAAATTTTGTTCAGATTCATATTCAAACTTCTTTTGAACATAACTTGAGTTTTGTAACTCCGATTTAGTTGATTTTTTTGCAAATCGAAGCTCTTGACCTAAACTTTTTGATAAGGCCAAACTCACATAATTTTGGTACGGTTAGAAATTTTTTTATGTTGCAAGAGTTAATTGCTTGGTTTTGATGTTTTTCGAACTATCTTCTTCGTTCTTCCCGATCTTTTGACTGATTGCTTATGTGCGGTTACTATTGCTTGCTCACGATAGATTGAACGGAGTGTGACGAGTAGAACTATCAAGAGTTATGAGTGCGAATCATCTTCATCAACAGTACAAGGCAAGTTCACACTTTGATCATATCCCTTCCATACCCAGTTTTTATGCATTAGTTTCACCCTCAAACGTTGCATGAGTAGGACTTGATAACATGTGGGTATTGGGAAGTAGTTGATGAGGTAGGAACCTATTGTCCTGTATCAAACCCTGGGAGTTACTTATACGTTATGCTTATACTGCTATGCTATGTTCGTAGACGTGGATTTGGTTGAGAGTATTCATGACAGATGTGAGAGTTCATAATTAATGGTTAACTTAAGGTGGCTACTTAAACACACATCTGGGTGGAGTGGTTGGGGCACCCTGGAGTACCCAGTGGTTTGCCCGGGCACCTGGAGAACCCAGTGCTTGCAAGGGGATCCCGGAGGACCCGTGTGATCACCCTATGGAATGCCACCCAAGCTCAAAGGGATCATAAGATTATTCATGCTAGAAACTTCTATGTGCAGCCATAAGCTATTATGGGCTCTAGCATAGTTGAGTAAGTTGCGTCAAGCTCTTGAAGAGATAGACTAGCAGGTAGTGGGTTGTAGGTGGTATAG